AAAAAGTTCACTTCTCATATCCGTGCAATATTGCACGTGAACTGTTTAAGTATTTCTGTATAGGCATGCGTACCATTGACCGATTGTCCATCCATGCGACATAGAAGCGCTTTTATTACAGCTTCCTCTCCCTTTATTTATTTTTAAATTGTCCATTGAGGCTTTTAGTTGTATCATGCATGTATTATTTTGTCCCCTGTTAATACGGTATGTTAACCTACTTTGTTGCGCAGCAAAATATATACAAAGATATTTATAAAAATTATGAATATAATCTCGAATATGAAACCCTTTTTTTATAGAATAAGGGCGACAAACGGTACCTGATGGTTAGTGCAAGCTGTAGCTCATAGAAATCTACATCTATCATCGATTAGGAATCAGAATGCAGATGCGTTGTCACCCCTGAGGTCTAAGATAGAATGCCTCGTTTCCAGTAAAAAGCATCTCCGGTTCTCTACACTCACCATACGAAACACAGCAGCCTTAAGCTGTTATTTTACGTTGGTATTCTGTGAGAGCGTGGTCCTTCCCCTGTTGAGCCAACCCATTCGTGCTACAACTATACAAGTAATTTAACTCCAGCATGTCTCCACCACGTGAAAAACATTTATTTAGACCACGTTCTACTGCAATACATTTGTTTAGACTTTATGAAATGCTACTTTTAATGGGGATTGTAATCGATTAAAATTAAACGGTAGGTCACTCTACTACACTGGTATTCTGTGAGAACGTGGTCCCTCCCGGGTCGAGTCGACCCATTCGCGCTGCAACCATAACATAGTTGCAGCATGGCGCTACCACGTAAAAATGTCTTGTTTTTTGTATTATTATATAAGATACAACTTACATATACGTCCCAATACTGGGCAAAACTCTACTTTGAGAGGGTTTGACGGCATTCACCGCGCTGCCCAAATGCGCGTTGGCGGACTTCACATGTCTTTGAAATATTCTTTAATTCTCAGAAATGCTCATTTCCTCAGAACGTTTTTCTTCATCACAGAGAATATTATAAATGAGCACTTGAACCTATAACTACAAATTTTCATTGCGGTCGGCGGGAATCGAACCCGGGTTGCACGTGTATTATGATATTTACGGCGAGCGCAATCCCTTGAGCTGCCACGGCTCTCAACTCTATCATTACGTTCATAATTATAAAATTTTAATTAATTGCACAGGTCTTTTATATGCAAAAGATGTAGTGTTAAAATTAGTAGGCAAAATATAGTTCGTAAAAAATCTTGACCCAGTTCCGATGAAACGGTAAAATGTTTATTAATGTTCAATATTTTTTGTTAATTGTTTGTTATTTGTTCGTTTTAAAACAATGCAAACTCCTAACAATAACAATTTTTTTAAACGGTAGTTGTTTGTGGTCCACGGCAGCATTGATTTAATAAATAATGTGGTGTACGCGAACCACATCATAAACACTAAAGTGTAAAATGTAGTCTACATTATACATTTACTACATATCCCAGCCAGAACACATCATGTTCTTTGTTATTTTAGTGTTTGATGCGTAATCAAATTAATTAATTGAAAGCCGCTGCGTAGATATTATAAGGTCGGTAAGCTTAGAGTCGCTTGTTCGCCCTCAATTTCCCTTGTGTATATTTAAAAATACTTTTACTGCAGTTAGGTACAATTCAACTAGAACCAATGCAATTTATAGCAGCTATGGTCCTCCAGTTAGGTAATTCTTACTTCCTTTTTTTTAAGAATGATTGCAGTAGTCAATAAAATACATAAATAATTTATTTTTGTTATTGTGTAACTGTAAAACATCGACAAAAATATGCGTTTTAAGAAAAAAAAACGGCCAAGTGCGAGTTGCACTCGCGAATGAAGAGTCCCGTTGGTTACCCTTCGGGTACGGAACCTTAAAAATCTACATCTTCTCACCAAAGTACAAGTCTATTTCTGGAATGGTCATTTTGTTATGGTAGGACTTGTCTTAATCGTCACGTTTGGAAGGCGCATTGACGTTCGCAGAGCGAAAGGTAAGAAAAAAAAGAAAAAAAAGAGAGAAAAAACACCAAAATTTGACGCTGCTATTTTCACTGATGTTAGTGCTGTTAGCCGGTTGGCTTTTACCGCTTCTTCGAAATTGACGTTGCTGCTTTTCGCAAGACTAGGTATTTTAAGTGTAACATAAACGAGCTGACTACGTCGAGTAGTGGCGGCGTGAGAAAACTCAGTACACCAACCTTGGGTGTCTTAAGACTAAAACTGGAGATATTCAATAGCATCTTCCTAATAACAACAGAAAATAATTAAAAACTGCGGTTGCCAACCCGCCTGTCAAGCGGGTGAACGTGAAATTTTATATGTGCGTGCGAAATAAAATTAAATAAAGTAAATAGATAATTGAATAAACAAGATTTTCTTACACGGTAGAGCCATGCTGCAGCTATATTAGTAGTATAGTAGCACGAATGGGTCGGTTCGACCGGGGAAGGACCACGCTCTCACAGAATACAAGCGTAAAATAGAAGCTTAACACTGCTGTGTTTTCGTATTTTTATAGGGTAGGGTGACAAACGAGCACACAGTCCACCTGATGGTAAGTGGTTGCTGTGACCCATAGACATCCACATCTATCCTCAATAACGAATCAATGCAGATGCATTGACACCCGTGAGGACTAAGATGGAATGCCTCTTTTCCAGTAAAAAGGGTCTCCGATTCTCTACACTCACCATACGAAACACAGCAGTGTTAAGCTGCTATTTTACGCTGGTATTCTGTGAGAGCTTGGTCCTACCCCGGACGAGCCGACCCATACGTGCTACAATTATACTACTAATATAGCTGCAGCATGACTCTACCACGTATAAAATCGTATGGTGAGCGTAGAGAACCGCAGACTGTGTGCTGGTTTGTCACCCTATCCTATAAAAAAAAACTATTAGAAGCCACAATTTTTTCTGGCATTTTCCATAGTCAAGTTTTACATCCACGGAACGAAATCGGGTGTTCGGTTCCCTTACGCTGCCACCACAAGAAAAATCGTTTTTACTTTTACCAAAGTCTCTTTTAAAGTTCTTCATTGGATGACAGTATTTATCATGTCTGCTTCATGGCAGAATATTACCAATACTAAACGTGCTTGTAGTTAAATATCCGAATCGAATACATCAGTTATTGATACAGTAAGCGCACTGTAGTGCGCATTTACAATATTCAAATTGAGAGATTTTCTTTGCCTATAAATTAGCGGTTCATCTAGCTGTATCGCCGGCTCATTGAGCCTTCAGCTACTGATCCGTAAGGCTTAAGTATAAGAGTAACTTGCAACTCTTTTTTATGCCGTAGATATTCTCGGAAATGATTTTATCATATAGAACAAACCTTAAGAGAGTCGACTCTATAGCTCGTCATAGATTCCTCGTGCAATCAGCAGTAAACGATACTGTCTCAGTCCCATATAAGTGATCGCTGGTGTATTTCGTGAGGTATTTCCGACGAAAAGATTTTTTGGTTGAAGTTGAAATTAATGTTTTACATATTTGCCAACATCGTCGTGTTTAATTTATATTTATTGCACTGCCATCTATTTTATATTGTGTAGATGGTAGTTTGAATCCGGGACGGCAATCCCATTACTAGCACAATGCAAACTTCGTACTTTCATTGTACGGGTAATGAGGTAGGAAGGACTCAGTTCTCTGTCCCACTTCCAGCTATGCCAATGTAAGCATTGTCATATGCTTATGCTGATGTTTTGTAAGTGTACGAGTTAAGCGCTTTTATTGAAGTAAAGCAGCAGTTTAATTACTTACTTACTTATCTTCACGCACAATCCCTGACAGGGTAGCCAGAGAGAACAAATCGGTGTCACGATCCTTACAAACCTTTGCTTGCTTAGAGGTTTGTAAGCAGTTTATTTCATAATTTAATAAGATTATTATTAGGCTTATTCGTCGAATGGTCTACAATTCTTGTCCCGTTTTACACTCCAGGCCTGTCTGACCCTATTGCACCAGCAGATAGTAGATTATTTACGAAAAATACAATGACTAGTGATAATACTATGAAATGGATGTTATTTGCATATTTATATATTGTTATCAAAAACAATGAAGCTGTCTATTTTATACGCGGTAGAGCCATGCTGCAGCTATATTGGTAGTATAGTTGTAGCACGAAGGGGTCGGCTCGACCGGGGAAGGATCACGCTCTCACAGAATACCAGCGTAAAGTAACAACTTAACACTGCTGTGTTTCGTATGGTGAGTGTAGAGAACCGGAGACCCTTTTTACTGGAAATGAGGCATTCCATCTTAGTGAAACGCATCTGCATTTTGATTCTCAAACGAGGATAGATGTAATGTCTATGGACCACAGCAGTCACTTACCATCAGGTGGACTGTGTGCTCGTTTGTCAGCCTATCCTATAAAAAAACTGAAGGAAGCGAGTCGCTATCACGCTGCATAATACCAGCGACTCGTCCCGACTTCTGGTACGATTCGACGGCGTGGTGTTCTTTTTATGACTACCACATGACGCATATTTCTCTACTATCCTTAAAAAAAATTCATTTAATGTACACGAAGACCCCTTAACTAATGGTGAAAATTGTTTCAAAATCCATAGAGTAGGTTACTACTTACTCTATGGATTTTGAAACAATTTTCACTACTAAGTTTAAAAGTTTCAGAGAATACATACAGAGACGTGTATAAATAAGCGATTTTATTTTATGATATACCAACACAAATATTATATTCATTGAGTTTAACCAGTATACAATTCGTGGATACGCTCATACTATAAAATCGTGCTAGATTTACAGACGCAAAAGGAAATATAAATAAACTTGGAATCGAAAACCGATTTAATTCGATTAAATATAATGAATACTCGATCGATTGAAATAATTATAATATAAGGCTACTGAGCACTCTCATTATATGACAAAGAGCTTAAGAAAAATAATATATATATAAATAAAAAAATGACGCAATATTAATTGTGGAAAACTCACTTGGCATTTTTAGGTTTAGTGTCAAGTTGACAGCAGGCACGGTACCGTAGTACCGCCTCAGTGGGTGAGAGGGCGTCGGTTTCGTCCGCCGGCGCTTCGCACTCGTCCGTGACGAGTGGCGCGCGCGCCGGCGACGTGTGCGAACCGTATCCGTCCGAATTCAGCTAAATGGAGAATGAAACAAAATTAGTACCATTATACATATTTATTCATACAGACAGGATGATTCAATGAAATATGAAAAAACTACTAGAATTGAAAATAAAAATATTTAACATAACATTACTTTCAATTAAAAAAACACATATTATAAATTAAGACAATAATTATTAAAAATTTAAAATTAAACCCTGTGATAATAATTTAATATAAATAATACTAGCTCACAAGGCAGACGTCGTTCTGCCCTTTTCGACAGCCATTTGCTTTCCTAAACAAAACACTCCTGAAATTAGCAATAAAAAAATTGAGGGTCACTTATCGGGATAAAAACTATCCTATCTCTCAAGTTGGAACAAACTGCACACAGTGTGCAAAATTTTATTGAAATCAGTTCTGTGGGTTCGGAGTTCATCGCGGACAGACAATGTGACACATAATTTTTATATATAAAGATTAACATTACGTAAGATTTTTAGTGAAAACAACCTTATTATAGCAATGAATGCACAAGACGCATTATTTCTTAGTAATTACCTTTCAAGTCAAAAGTGAGACCTCTACGGAGAAAAACGGGCAAGAAAAGTTACGAACATGTCTTTTCCTGTTTCCTTTTTCTAGGAAATGTGGTGATTACATAATATATAATAATTTAATGGTATATGTGTATATGATACCATAATATATAATATTACGTTGTGTTAAGAATGAGGGTAAAAAACAAAAGGAAATACGATCAAATGCAGGTTGAATAGTAATCTCCCATTTGTTTTAGCAGTATGAAGCATCGCACAGACGACTAAGAGACAGTCAGTCAGTAATTCCAAGAGTTCCACTGTCGTTACTATGCCCGTTGGGGTATTCTACTAGTGTAGGCAAGGAAGGTCGTGTTGCTGAGAGGCTGCCCTGTGTTACATTGAGACGGGTAGTGATGCTGTTGGTTTGCATACTTTGATGTTATCATGTAATTGGGGTCCTGATAGTAAGCAGGGTTTGTTACCGAGTAGTGTTCTTTTATTTAAATACTTTTGAGGATAATTTCTAACATCAGAAGTGGAATAGTTTGTTACAGTTGGTATTACAATATATTTTGTTGTGCCAGCCGAACACTGCAGAAGTAATTTTATTTCCATAGGTCCTTCATCCGCAAATAGCTGTCTAAAAGCTGCTGCATTACAAAAGGCTGTAAAATTATATGTAATGGTGATGAATGTGACATCTTACTTTGACGATGGTGCCGACCTGGGTGTCTTGTATTTGTTCGAGGGCGCGGTCGCGCGATGGCTCCCGCACTTCCCTCGCCTCCCTCGCCTCTTTCGTCTCCAGAGTTTCCACCGGTGCGCCGAGCAGTCGCTCCTTCATCTCGTGGATGTAGGGGCAACGCTGCATCGCGATGTAGAATTCGCGGACGCGAACCTAATAGACAAAAATTCTAGTTACAGAATCTAGAACTACTTTAAAATAATTACAAAATTAAGTACACATTAACTTAGATGTGATTGAATAAAGAAAATAATGTCCACAAAATTAAAAATTCTTCTTTTCGTCCTTTATTAGCATGTATGAGTCCATTTTTGGACATGGGCTTCTTCTATTGTAAGAAATTTATACTATAATTGCCGTGCCTGGCATCGACGATCGCCAGTTCAAGATGTCACGCACTTTTGACTGTTCTTCCCCGCACCAGCCTGGATAATTTTCAATTGTCATATAAAAGATGGTATTTATGTATTTATGGTGACAAACGGGCACATAGTCCATTTGATGGTAAGTGAATCCTGTGCCCATCTATCCCCGTTTAAAAATCAAAATGCAGATGCATTGTCTTCCCAGACTTCCCAGGACTAAGATTGAACGCCTCGTTTCCATTAAAAAAAGTCGCCGTTTCTCTACACTCATCATACGAAACACAGCAGCATAAAGCAACTATTTTACGCTCGAATTCCGTGAAAGCGTTGTCCTTAGCCGAACCCAACAAATGTGCTTCACCTGTATACCACTGTATATCATAAAATATCGTCTGTCAGGCTTTGGTATAGTAGCCTCTTACGAAACGCACAGGATACTGAATTCTCATACACCACCGCCACATGGCCTCATTAAAGACGAGAATAGATTATTTTAAAGATTTTATAAAAAATAGGACTCAAGATTTAGATGGCGATCGGTGTACCTATAAAAGCTACTTCACTCTCTACTTTCTTAGACAAGATAGAGCCATACTCTACATGCGGTAGTCATATTGCAGCGTATTAACGCTGAAACGCGAAAGGACGCCTCGACCATGAAAGGACCACGTTCTCACAGAATGCCAGCGTAAAATAGCAACATAATGCTACTGCGTTCCTGTGGTAATTGATGAGAACCGGAGACCCTTTTTACTGGTAACTAGCCAGTATAACAATTACGAGCTGTGAGGCATTCCATCTTAGTCCACAGGGCTGGCAGCGCTTTCTATTTTGATTCTTAATCGAGGATGGATACAGACGTCTAAGGACTACAGCATTCATTTCCCGTCAGGTGCACTGTGTATTCGCTTCACACCGTTACTTCAATAAAAATACGATTAAAAATCAAATTAAATTATTATAGATAATTTACTCTCGCAAAACGAGAAAACTTAACTAGCGTATCAAAGCGTATAGCGTAGCGTCAAATTATAGACGGTGGAAACCAGTGGAGACTATATTCTTGTATAAGCGTTCTGTCGGTGATGACACGTCTCTGTGGGTGGAAGTGTGGTGATCTTTAAACTTCCAATCTTATTATTTTTTTAATACGGACCTTAGCAATTAAGTTCCTCATATTTGTTTATTTACCGTCGTTGGGCGTCAATAACGATATTTGTAATGCTAAGTTACTTTTTTATAACTGCTAAGTTACTTTTGAAAATTATAATGTATAGTTATTTATATTTCGTTCTGTGTCTTATAAATAGTTTTACACTTTATCGAAAGTGATTTTTAAAACATCTATGAAAATATAATATGTATCATAGAAAACAAAAAATCTATACATATACATGTATACACAATATATAAACAACACGTGCTGATTAGGAAGTGTAGGATTTGTGTTTGCGTGAATACTTGCGATACTTATGATATCTCCTGCACAGGTAAATGCTTCCAGACATTGAAGCTGAAACATCACTTAACTGCTTGCTTATTTTCTTAATTATCTGTACTTTTTTTTAATTATTACTTTCATTTCTAATGGGTTTTTTGTTTATCAAACCTTTAATGTTTTAATGCGTTGTTGTTTGTTATCTCTACACAATAGCTCCGAGTTAAAATGTTTAGACTATCTGAATATCGAAGTTTGAGTGAAAGAAATTGCTTCCGTTGTTTGCAGTGTCATGGTTGTTTACAAAATTATCTCCTCATATCCTTATGTGGTTATGGTAGAATAGTCTGACTAAAAATAATCTAGTTCAGAGACGGTGAAAATTGACAAAAGCGCGAAACATCTTGTATTAAAAACCCACCGTGTTAGTTTCCCATTTGTCGGATCGTTAGTCCGATTAATCGACCCAATGGAAATAGTTTTAATATTTGAACTACGCAAAATAATATTTATTATAGTTACTTTCTCTGATAATTTATTTACTGCTTATTAAACTTTGTAACATGTGCCAAACCGAAATAATATTAAAGGTCGGGGAAAATGTTCTATGTCGTAACTACTAAAATGCCGATCTTGCTCCACTTTTTCAATAATGGCATTGACTGTATCCGTATGAGGACGACCAGAGCGAGCTGCATCTTTGACATCAAAATTCCCGGACTGAAAACACTGGAACCAACTTTGTGCAACTGTTACTAACACTACATTAAGTCCATAAACATCACAAATATTTTCGCAGCTTGAGTTGCATTTTCCCATTTTTGTAATACTTTAACTTCAGAATGTATCGAAATTCTTCGTTAGATTCACTCATTTTGGCGGACAGAAAAAACAATTGAAAAATGGCGGGAAAGTGTATTTACTTTTTATTTCTCTCCGTTTTTTAATGTCCTATATTTATTGATATTAAAAACTAGCCAGATAAAAACAGTACAACCAAAGAGATTTTTCTTCAATTTTATACAAACTAAATACGAAGAAACTTTTTCCCCGACCTATCATTATAAAAATGTTTGCTGATCAAATCGACAGATTATTATTTAATTTTTAAACATATTTCTTTTACAAATGCTGCAACCGTATAAACGTACATTATGCTTTTAAAACTGCAGAATCCCACCGTGGGGCTAAGAAATTCAATATGATAATATATTAAAATGTATTCAATATGATAATATATTATAATTAGGAATACTACGTATAATATGTACAAACACAAATAAGTACTTAATTAAGTACTTATTTGTGGTTTGATACTTAATTTTGACAAATGAATCAGCATAGCCGGGAAACAACTTCTAACATTCTAGATTACATGTACAATACTAGTAACTGTAATGGGTAATGTACTTCTATGGTCAGTGACAAAAATGGTAATGTACTTCTATGGTCAGTGACAAAAATCGGAGATTAAGTAGTAGTGGACCAAACCAAAAGTTAAAAAGCATCTACATCTTAACTATTCATTGGCGCTATAATAGACAGTGAAGAAATAATTTTGAAACTGTACAAACTCGCATTTTAGCATTAATGGCAGGTTTTTATTTTGTAAATTTTAACTATGAGTTAAGGAGTGACAACTAATCGAACTTGAAAGGCTTGATATAGGTCTATCAAGCCTTTCAAGTTCGATTAATTGTCACTCCTTAACTCATAGTTAAAATTTACAAAGTAAAAAAAACCTGCCATTAATGCTAAAATGCGAGATTGTAGTTTCAAAATTATTTCTTCACTAGGCATGACATCTAACTCAACAATACATTACTTTAAGTTTCGTACTCTATATATATTTGTTTCTTTTATACCAACCTTCCAATCAACCTTCCATATTTTTTTAGACATCACTTAAATTAAAAATTTTAATTTTCACCATCTAAGGTCACAGACATGTCTGTCTCAGAATTGAAACCGTTGTAATCATTTAATTCATAGTAGATGTGTCAAATAGTGGATTCAGCGCCTATAGAGCAAGCAATGCGTGAAGCGGAATGTCGGGTAGACTGACGTACTTAAGTAAGGCCTATGTTCATCATACAAATTATCATGATCGTCATTACATTCCATCAAAAATCCATTGCAGAACATAGCCTTGCTCCACAGATTGTCTCATGTCTGCCAGGCGGGTTAGCAGCCACAGTTTTTTTTTTAATTATTTTAAATTGTTATCAGGAAAGTAGTGCTGCCCATCTCCCGTTTCATTTTCCTTTGTCAATAGTACGACACCCATAGAATGATATGGGGTAGTAGATACACACCGCCACTACATGGTTAAGTCATAGAAATGAAAATATCAAATGAAAATTAAAATTCTTAGGTATTAAGATGGTTCCATATATTTCGTAAATCGCACATAACTGACGTAACAGTTTGTTAATGTAAACCACCCAGAAGCGATCTGGTAAGCGTTACGGGAGCATTAATTTTGCAATTAAGGTTATAATTATTATTGTCTCAGAGACTGGCCGGGACGGCTGCGGTTTGGTACCGGTAGTGGGGCGAATATTATGGCAAACAGGTAGATGCCACAAAGTTATTTCTACTCATATCATTCAATGAGTAATTGAACGGTTTTGTTACGAGGACTTAGTAATAATGCAGCATGAAAATACTTGATATTGCCTTTTTTATAGGATAGGGTGACAAACGAGCACATAGTCCACCTGATGGTAAGTGGTTACTGTGACCCATAGACATCTACATTTATCCTCAATAAAGAATCAAAATGTAGATGCGGCGTCGCCCGTGAGGGCTAAGATGGAATGCCTCTTTTCCAGTAAAAAGGGTCTCTGGTTCTTTTCACTCACCATACAAAATACAGCAGTATCAAGCTGCCATTTTACGGTATGCCTGGTATTCTGTGAGAGCGTGGTCCTTCCCCGGTCGAGCCGACCCATTCGTGCTACAACTATACTACTAATATAGCTGCAGCATGGCTCTACCACGTATAAAATTGCTGTATCTATATGGAAAAACCGTGCCAGATTTTGCTGCCGTACCGGCTGCTCTTCCGCCACGGACTGCAAGCATGACTGTTGTGTAGCTCTGTTTGCTTTAAGGTTCGGTTCGGTTTAAGGAGCATTAAATTAAGAAATAAATCGAAATCTACAGAAATAAATCCAAATAAATCGAAATAACCAAGCAGTGTACGCCAAACACACTGCGTTGACAATAAATGCTTTAGCTCGATTACTCGCAATTTAGATAGCTTAAATACCCATAATTTTATTTGAAGAAGCCAAGGGACAGTCGGTGTCATATCACGCATTCCTATTTTAACAAACAACGTATCG